ATGCGTGTGTGCTGAAGCACCAACAGCATAAAGCACCGGTAAGGAGCGTGGGTGGTCCCTCCAAAGCACCGTACCGGAATGGTATCCGGTGCTCTGGGCAGGATCCGGTACGCCCGTACTGGGGCGTACCGCTTGCAACCCACCACTGGTGCATACACATTATCAAGTGTAAGATCTAGAGCAGTGTTTCTCAAACTTGGCAACTTTAAGATGTGACTGGGAAATGTTGGGAGTTGAAGTCCACATGTCTTAAAGTTGCCAAGTTTGAGCAGCATTGATTTAGATTTTTTAATTGAAATGTATTTTCTATTGTTTTCTGTACTTCACTAATAAAATGAATTTTAAAAGCAATCCAAAGGGACAGTTTCAGAAGGAATGTGAGTGGAGCTTTTTCCTTGTTGGAAACAGAAGACTTTGGCTCAATGGAGAGTTGTGGTTTCAAGAGATATTTGTGCATTGGCTTGTTTCACAACCACAAAACAAAGGCTTCGGACATGGTCCAAGTAATGTTAAGAGCTTTTAAACCTGTTGTGCAGTATGGATGCTGTTATTAATAGCACTAGTGCTTTTTAAATAGATGCAATATTGATTTAAGAAAGTAGGGAGAGTTTTAAGTGTGTGCTTAACTCTCTCCAGTATGAATCAGTGGGACTTGATCTAACCACTGGTAAGCATTTCTTGCCTACATTTGAGCGAATAAAATATTTTCCAAGCTGATGTCCTCCAGATGGAGGGTCATTCCAATAGGAGGTTCTCAGACTTACTGTGCAAGACTTTTGAAGGCTAGAGAAGACTAACCTAAAGAAGTTTTTTTTATTTATACTGTACTTTCTCCCATCCTCCAATCCCTGGTCTGAATTTACCATATAAAGTGTGAATATAAAATGGAAACAGATGTAAAGCCTCATAAATGTACATGAGAAAATGAAAATGTGCTTGCTTAATCATTTATTTTTCATGTTCTGAATGGAAGTATTGGAGTTATATACCATTTTTTAAAAATGTATTTGAGCCTGTGTTTACTCTTGGCAACATCATAGGCAAGTTCCTACAGTTTTTTTGGCAAGATTTTGGAAATGGCTTGCCATTGCCTCCTCCTTAAGATGAGAGAGAGGGACTGGCCCAAGGTCAGCCAAATGACTTTGTGCAGTGGTGGGATTCAAATTTATTTTTACTATTGGTTCTGTGGGCATGGCTTGGTGGGTGTGGCATGGCTTGATGAGTGTGGCAGGGGAAGGATACTGTAAAATATCCATTCCCTCCCGATCAGCTGGGACTCGGGCGGCAGAGAATAAATGTGGGCAGGGCCAGTCAGAGTTGGTATTTACCAGTTCTCCAAATTACTCAAAATTTCCGCTACTGATTCTCCAGAACTGGTCAGAACCTGCTGAATACCGCCTCTGGCTCTGTGCCTAAGTACAATTCACAATCTCCCAGTTCTAGTCTGATGAATTCACCACTACCTCAAACCGGATCTATCTTACCATTTTTTTTTTATAGCAATAGCAGTAGACTTATATACCGCTTCATA